ATGAAAAATATGAGAAAACTGAAGAAAGGGAATCAACAACGCAAACTCTCAACATCTAATGCAGTATTATAACTCAGGGAATGCTGTGTCCAGAATTACCTAAAACAAGTTTATGAAGCATGAAGTAACAGATCCCTTAAAGGCTGCTTCTTTAGATTTAAGTTGCGTTGGGATTTTTTTCTTCCTAAAATAGCTGGAATGATGAATTACTCTTACAGAATTACTTTTCTTTCCATTATCTTTTGAAGTGAGCTTGAAATTTTTTACCATTATCCAAAATTCCAATTAAATAATGCAAAGCCTCCCTGTATCAAAAATTCAGAATTTTCATAAACTGATTTTAATGATTTTTTTTAAGCAAACCGATCTTCCCTTCTTCCACGGAAGTCATATAGCTATGTGGGTTTTATCTGTGTCTGGTGCTTCATTTGCATTTCCTTTTGGTCCTTGCAAAACAAAATCTTTATTAAGTCACCGTTTTACATGCCACAGAATGATCAGTTGATCATTTTGGATTTTTAAGCATAAGTCCTCAAATTGTTGTCTGTAGACTGCTGGTGACCTACAGTGTTGTTTGGGTATGCAGTCATTCCTTCTTCAAACTGCTAATGATACTAAAATACTGATAACTGAGCATTACATATTTTGTAACATCCCTCTTCTGTGTAAGGAAGCACCACAGATTGATGTACAATGGTGAAGGGAAGAGGGCTTTACTCATCAGACTGCCTTTGCATAAAATGTTTCCACGCCGCATAAGAGCGAGCCTGAAGCTCTTCCAGCTCTATCACTGACACAGGCAACTCCTCAGCATCAAAGTACCTTTTCAGCGTATTTTTCCCTTTTACGCTTTCGTTCCTTCACACGATTTGTTTCTTCTTGCTGTCGCTTCTCTTCTTGACGCTGACGCACTGTTGGAAAAGAAATACCAAGTTGGCACCAATGGAAAGATATTTCATATCCTTTTGTGAATCTTACAGGAAATTCTAGTTCTAGCAGAACTGTGAAGAAAAGTCAGCTGTATTAAAATTCAATACATTTAATACACTACTGTATTAAAACTATTTGTATCCAAATTACTGAAAAGTCTTACAGTGAAATTCTTCTTTCTAGCAACATGCAAGCATATACCTCTAATACAGCTTCAAAAGTATGATGAAATACAGCATTTTCACTAATACTTTTCTTGTCATGACCTAAATAATTCTTGTCAAAGCTCTCTCATTCAGGAACAATGCAGTGATCCTGAATGAGTGCCAACAAAAACTTTATCACATCATCATGTCTCTCTTGCACAACTTCATCTCTCAGCTCCGCAGTGATATGAAACCAGCTTGTACTAACAAGAGTTGGCAATACAAAAAGAGCCAGGAAACAGAAGTTGTTATCAGCAATACATGTGTTTGTAGAGATAAAAACACAGATTTCAGAAGCTAATTAAGTGGAAGATGAGGAAAATGCTGCAACACAAATTTCACATACATTTCTTTTCTAGTTCCTCATCATCCAGCAGAAGGCTGACCACCTCTTTTGGCTTCAAGGTGTCAGGTTTGAAATTGCCACCTGAAATCACCATTCGCTGGATCTAGAAGGAAAAAAAAACAAGAGAGAAAAAAAGGAAAAGTTACTCAAATCAGCCACAGAATCATTACAGTTGGAAAAGTCCTCTAAGATCATCAAGTCCATGTCTGATACATGTTTTCTGATACCATTTCTGTAACTTCTTGTTCCATATGATTTCCTCATTCCTACCTCACTCTTTTCCTTAGCTCTTTGTAAGATGCGCTCCTCAATGGTGCCTTTACATATCAACCGGTACACGGTGACTTGCTTTGTTTGACCCAGCCTGTGTGCCCGGTCCATGGCCTGCTGGTCTACTGTTGGGTTCCAGTCGCTGTCATAGAAAATTACCTGCAAAAGAACACCAGAACAGAAAGGATTAAATAAAACCAGACATTTAGAGCACCTGGTGATTAAACAAACAAAAATCCAAGATACTGGGGAAAAAAAATACATTTTGCTATACACCCCATTACAGGCTGTATTAACCCAGCTTTGCTTTCCTGCAAAATGTTTTCCACTGCATTTCAGGTGAAATCAAACCAACTGACAGAATGTCTTTAATACCTTCTTCCAGAAATCTGCTTCAGAGGCACAGAACTTCTAAGTCTGTCACCACAATAAATCACTGTCTTGTAACTAATTATAGACTAACCACATCATGAACCCATTTTAGCGTTATTTACCTTAAGAAGAAAAAGCCCATCAAATTAGAACTTCACATGAAAAGTAATACTCCATTTTTTTTCCTTTCAAACTTTGGATAAAGTCTGGTCTAGTCTAACACTTCTAGTGTTTTTATCACAAAAAACTGAAATGCCACTTTACATTCATACTGCCTTGTCATTCCAACAGCATTTTATGCATGCTAAGCGTACAAAACAAAAACATCTTAAAAAATTTTAGACAGCAAAGTAAAATATTCAGAAAGTTACAAAACACAACTAAAAATGCTTGTACAAGGAGCCTGCAGGAGCATGCCTGTGCTTCCATCTGTTTATTTCCTCTGCTGAAGCAACTTGAGTCAAGAGAACTTTTAAACCCTGAAGATCCTACAGACACTTGCTTTCTTCTGATTTCTTGTTAAGTGACAGCAAGATATGATGGAGCATTTTAAAAAAATAGAATTATGTAACATTTTTGATCCATAGATCTCTGGTTTTTTGTGGGTAAGGACTACAGTCTGTCTTGGGGTAAAATGTGCATGCACACAAGGGCTGGAAGCACAAGAACAGCTATTAGTGAAGAGACGAATGGTTCATGTAGGTCATATTCCTTCCCTCATGATTTGTGCCAGCTGCTCCAGAGTGCAACCTCTTGCAATTCACCTAAATTAGTATGCCTTTACATCTTGGGTGAGTAGGGGGGAAGGAATTTATCCTTCCTGACTAGCTGATATTCAACTGCAAATGACTTCGTAGTTTAGAGGCACTGCTTCATTCTTCTGTGCAGAGATAAAAGGGTAACCGATACCTGTCCTACTGATTCTTTAGCTGCTGAGCCTTTAGAGCAAACAGTCATACATAAAGCAGCATTCACTGTATTAAAGTGTCATTTGCGCCTGCAGACCTCTTCAGTCATCCGTCTCCTTTCTAGACTCTGGTACTGAGAAGGAAGATAGTTCCAACTGCAGCCAAAGGCTGTACCAAATGTCCAATATTCTACAACTTTATAATCAAGATAATACCACACTGTAAATACGAGTGAAGTAAACAAGGTTTTGCCATTTCATGATGTGAACGGCAGTACTAAAAATACTGGTTAGCATGGCTAAAAGAGTGCCAACTTTCAGAGAGAAAGACCAGTTTTCCTGTGTAAATCATGAGGCTAGAAGGCAGGAGATGAGCAGCCTGGGAAAAATGGTGGTTGGAGGCAGGAAAAGCAAAAGAATATTTGTACTGAAATCGATGCATTAGAGAGCTGATTTTTTATTCTGAACTACTTTAACAAACTTCACTTACCGTATCTGCAGCTGTAAGGTTAATGCCCAAGCCTCCAGCTCTTGTGCTCAACAGGAACACAAAAATATCATTCCTGCAGAGGAAAGAGATTAAAAAACCCTTATTTTGTGCATGATGAACAAGAAACAACCACAGAAGTAAATTCTGTGACCCATATAAAGTGATCAGGGCTGTTTCTATTACTTGAACACTTCAGAACATTTTGTGCTGTTCATGGTCAAGAAAAAACAACTTATGAGTGAGTGAGAGAAGTTAATCTACAAACCAAGACTGTCAGAACACGCAAACATTCAGTTTGCGATAGCAGCTTATTAATCACTATCAAAACAAACCACAGCTTGTTTATCTTGCCCACACTGGAAATTAAAATTTCATATGGACACAAAACAATTTATTGTTTTACAGAATTGATCACTGCTAAAAAAAGATCTTGCCTTAACAATGCTCCATTGATAAAGAAAGAAAAATAAATGTTGAATCTGTGCAGATGCAAGTTTTGTTCTAAATTGGGTACTTTGAACAGAACAAACAACTCAGGGGCGGGGGGGAAGAATTATCTTAATATAAAAGCAAGCTAGCAAATATAAAGGTACATTAGAGAAGGATGTGGGTCCACTAGCACAGACTAAAGTCCTTCAGACTAAGAACTTCTCTAGTCCTAATTGTGTTGCTGATTCAAATTAGAAGTTCTAATCATTTTCAGTTTGCACTAACTGTATTTACATGTAGATTCCTTGGGACTGTGATGTCCTCAGACAGCATGTGAGCTGATGACAAACCAGGTACCTTTGGTGAATGTGGCCCTCCAGACAGAAGGCCCTAGTACAATACGGATCCATATGACACAACACACTTCTGGAAAGCCACCTCTGGACACCTCCTTGGGAGGTTCGCAAACCCTAACACAGTCATACTAGGCCCAAGGCTTAGAGTTGCTGGCATCAGATTCAGGAACACTGGCTGCTAAGAGAGAGATGAGGCATCACAATACCTGGCTTGGAATAGCCCTCTAAGCCTAGTAATCCTTTACATAACTGAGGAAGGTGGGGTGCACTGGACAGCTCTCTGTAATAAGCCCCAGCTACAGTCTGAGGAGTCAGACAAAATGGACAGCGGTTGTCGAGATTCAATGGCAGTTCTAACACTGCACACACAGAAGACAAATGAGACAGATCTATACAGAGGATGACCAAGCACTGATGAAAACTCAAGTGGCAACAGTGAAATCAGCAATTCTGCTAAGGCTGTGAACCTCACTAGTGCCACTGTGGGGTCAGCAGTATTTAAAAGCATTTAACACCACATGGATCTGTGAATGGTTTGACGCAAACAAAGCAGGCAGTACCAGTAAGGCCTCCAAAGAGGTTGACGTACTGTACTTGGACAGTAACAGAGCAAGGCCTTCCGTTCAAGAGAAGACACTCTGCAATGACACATCCTTTTGTTATCACACTGTGCACACGAGTGCATGCAAAATTACTAAAGAACCAGAAAGTCTCGCTGAATGAGCAGTGTGGGACATTTCCTTCTTGACTAACCACATGTAAGCAGTTTGTCCTTAAAAGTCCACTTATCAAATCTAAAGGGTTTTTCTTGCCCTTCCTGGAGGAAGTGTGGATGCATTGCATGCTTTTATACATATGCTAGTACAACTCAACAAATGTAAAAAATCCAGGGTTTTGGAATCCATATCCATGATGGTCAAGTAGAACTATTTTCTCAGGATTCAAACTTTAAGACATTCACAAGTACCTGGCAAGGCTGTACCATAAAAACCAGACTCTCAAAGAACCCATTCTGGTCCCAGGTAAGGTTTTCTCCCACCCCACCTAAAGAAATTACCAACAGACAGCAGAAATAATTACGAAAACTATGAATTAACACACACACAAAAAAACGCCAAGAAATCTAAAATTAGAAAGGTTTCTGGCCGTCCAAAATCTAATACAAAAATTCATCCTGAGCTATGGGCAGCTGGAAGGAATTGATGCCGAGCAGTCATCTCTAGACTTTATCTTGCAGGTACAAAGCCAAAGGAGTCAGCAGGTAATCGCAAGGCAGGTAATCCTTGGCCAGGAAGTCTTTTCACTCTTGTAACAACAGTGGAACGTACACACAGACAGTCACCTGAGCATCCTGCTGGGAAATGCTTCTGGAAATGCCGTGTGGGAAGGAAAGAAAGTGGACAGTGCCACAGACTACAGGAACAAATTATCATTCCATAGCTATGTATTTTCAGCACTCTGCTAGGATATCCTGCAGGACAGTTTAGTCTCAGTCAGGCTTTTTTTTCCTGGAAATATTTCTCATAAGTAAGTCACTTATAAGAGGAACTCAACTAATATTTTAATAGGAATTCTTGTTTAGACTGGCTGACCTTTTTTTTTCTGCTGACGACTGTTTTTTTCTTCAGTTGTTCTATTCATTAATAAAACCAAATTCTGATCATTAATAAAACCCCAAATTTCTTCACTTCTTTTGGTTAAAAGACCTTACGGGAAGAAGAGTCAGGATTGCAGGAGGCCATCATAGCCTGTGAGAAAACTGCTTCCGACACCTGGAAACCAGGAGAAAGGTCCTGTATGGTTCTCTCACCACAGCTATTTGGCACACTTCTTATTCAAGTTTTTTTGCTCTGAGGTGTTCACTAGAAGACTCACCATTGCAACACAGGCCTTCAGGTCTTTAAGGCTCATGAACTGCTGGCCTGAAAGGCTCTATATGGCTTCCCCCCCCATCTTCAGCTATGATACCTTGGGACCACTAACACAAGGACTATTCTCTAGAATGCTTCTTTCACCCTCCAATAAACAACGATCTACAAACCTACCTCCTCTGAAAAAGAAAATTAACTTCTTAAAAGCTCACATCAACGTCCAGGAAGGGTAACCTTACTGTGAACTACCATACCAAAGTGACATCCTACCAAGCTGTATCTCATGGTTAAAAGAAAACTTAATAACCACAAATTCAATCATTATAAATAACGCAACCTAGTGGAGACAAAGTTATATAAAATATATTAACTTATAATAAGATGATTACATACTCTTCTTTCCTGATGGACTCATAAAAAACTGCAAGAATCCATTTTGGTTTAATAAATGAAAAGGGTTAGCATATCTTACTACCTAATAAAATCCCTGTTTTATCACTTGTATGGTAGTTTAAGGTTTCACAACAAAGCATGCTTAGATGGTTTGTTTTGCAGAAAACTAGGTCACTTTCAAAGCTCTAGCATACGCAAGATTTTCAACCTCATCTTCACAGTGTAAATTGTCAGAGCATGTAATAACCAACGAACATTTGCTACCTTACGACTGGGCTTCTTTCTAAGCAATATAGAGTATTTGGAACGGTAAGAAGCACAAGAGATGGGTACACTAAAATTGCTTCCAATACTGTTTCACAGATGACAAATTCCTAAATACAACTGGGTTCAGTATCAACACCAGTGACTTCTGATAAGCAAACCACCTAGAAACTGTTTCAGATAAATGAGGTCCATTTGATATCAGGAAAGAGAATTTAAGTGCAAATTTCACTAATTTCCATTACATCTTATACCAGCTGTCTCTGTACACACAATATAGCACAGAAACACTTTGTAAAATACATTACCTGTTCTGAAAATCTGCTACCATGTCCCTCCGTTCAGAGATCTTTGAAGAACCATCCAATCTCATGTAGGTATGTTTCCTATAAACCATGTATTCCTGCAAAGAACACACACCAGAAAAAATATAGTTGCTTATATGCTGTAAGCAATCTTACGTAGGCAATACTTTATGATAATAGAAATTCAGAAATTAAAGCTACTCAACCATATGTCAGTTTTTGCAATTCATACATGAGATAAATGAAGATGAGTCAGAACTGGGGTTGCATTTGCTGCTCTGCAGAAAATGTTACAGTACATGCCTTTTTCTATAAATAAATAGGTAAATAAAAATCACTAAAATAGGAAGTTTGTTTTCACAAAGTCTAAATTCTTACTAAATCCTGAGCTTTCACTGTGTAAGTGAACCTATCCTAACAAACCAACTGTATCTGCTCCCTGCTCATTTTATACCATTTGACTACTCATTTTAAAATCTCAGTACTGTACACTAACGTCTGTCCATGCTTTATGTCGCTGGTAAAGAGCCTGTGAATCTCACTGCGTACACCACTTTGAACATTACATTGGTGTGTCAGCCCACAGCTCGCGCCAAGCAGCAGAACTGAAACCATTGCCTGGGACACAAATCAAATGGCATCAACCAGGAATGCTGTAGGCAAGGGCTTTTTCCAATGCTCTGAGGTACTCAGCTTCTTCTGATCAATAAAATCTGAATTACACAGAAAGCTTTTCAGGCTATGCAGCTATCCAGAGTTCCTCTGGAAAGATACCCTCTGACATTTTAACAATATGATCCCTGGCTGACAAGATGCAACTCCGACTGGTTACACTTGTTAGACTGAACGCTGGTCGTGCATGTGTCTTTTTGAGATGCTGTGACTGCAAATGAAGACAAAAAGAAAACAGATGGTGCTTTTGCAGCAAGAACTATTGGATTAATCTTGCTCCAAGCTGCAGTGCTCAGCAGATACAGAACTGATGTGCTGTGAGAAGACATGGCAGTGCTTGCATTCTAATAAACCTTCTGAGAGTACCATGCTCTCCTTTTCTCCTATACGGCTCCTGTTCCTTTCATGTTCTGCTTCACTACCGCAGAAAAGGTGGAAGAGCTGCCTTACTATAAGGAACCTGGGAAACAGACTGCTGTACTGGAAAGAAGCATGGCAGATGAAAAACAGATAAATAAAATTAACAATGTGGCAATGGCTACAGTCACACTTGGGCTACCTCTACAAAACAGAGCTCACGGCTGTACGATTTCTGGAGTACAACAGTAGAAGTTTAAAGCAGAGAACAGCTACTTCACCACATGGTCACTCAAGCCCTAATTTACTATTGATTTCCTCAATTCCTATGACAGGTTTCTGTCACCAACTAAAACCACTGACAGTTGTCGATTAGGCACTATGTGACCTTTCTCTGTATTTGATCAATCTTTCTATTATCACAAGGGTCTTTTCCTTCCATTTCTTTGTTATCATCTTTATGTGCATTTGTGATGATTCAGCCTTTCAACACCTTAATTTAGTCTTCCCTCACCTCACTGTTAACCATCTCTTCATCAGTGCCTTCTAAACAAACTTCAGCACAAATAGAAAACAACGTCTTTCTTTCCATCAGAAGCATTTATCCTTATCCCAGACCGCAGACATTTCCACTAAGGCACAAATTACAAAAGAATAAGCTATTCTACACCTGTAATACTGGCATTCATGGGTTGTTTCCCCCCACCTCACAAACTACACCTAGTACATTCACCTTTAGCTAATTATCTATTGAACACTTTGCTTAACATCTTCTGGTCTGTCTCCATCTACCTTTCCTTGATCAAGGACACTTCACACTAGCATAACAGTGTTCATATGAAACACTTGTTTTTGTGAACTGGTTTTACTCAGTATTTTTCCAAATATTGACAGTACACCCTTTCAATTCAGAAAAAAAAAGAAAAAAAAGATTACAACTTATACTATACTTGGCAGCAGTTTAGTGCTTTGATGACTCGTGGAAATGGCATGCTTCTAACTACAACAAACCAACCAACCAACCCCCAAGAAAACACTCTGATGGCAAGGAAACTATTTAAGTAGCAACTGCAATATACCTGGTCTCTACTGTAACTGTGGAAGGTGTCTGATGACTGCTCATTTTTCTAGTTCCCTTAAGGAGTGATGGGGTGAGGGAAGCCTCATGGGGAGGCTTTCATCTCATGGAGACACTATTATGCTAGACCTGCCTGAAAAGTCCACCTGCCAGTCTTGTTTAGTGTAAGGGGTCACCAAGCCACCAGAAGTATCAATCTAGGAAAAATAATGAAAATGGCCCTGGCAACAGAGCACCTATACAAGAAATGAACACACAATGACTTGAGTATGGTAAGAATGCAGTGCTGTTAAAGTCAGGGTTCTTCTGGGCTTCAACACTGATACTTTCTCAAAAAGTACAAAATGTTTTCCCTTCATGTTATTTCATAGTCCAAATGGAGTACACATATATTTTAACACAACTAATAAACTTTTGGTAGATCATAACTACGACATTTTACTTCATCCAGAATATAATCTGACCCCTCGTCACATGAATGCCATGTCATTCCCACTGAAATCATGGACAATTACTCTTCCATGCAGCAGAAGCAATCATACTGAGAAAAACAAACATGACCAAGATAAAAAAGTATGAAATACACGTCTGCATGAAATAACAGTTAATGAAATTCTATTTTATCCCCTCTTGCTGAAAGAAAATAATTTTCCTCGTTGTATTTATAACTGCCATTTTATAATGGCTGAATTAAGCAGCAGTTCTTCAGCTGAAGCTAAATCAAACAAACTTGGTTTCATAACTTTGTAAACAATGTGTTCTGTGCTCTCGTATGGATTAAGTGAGTACGATATCATAGCAGTTACAGTGATACAGTCAAAACACTGTTAAAAGAAATAGGGCATCTTATGATTGTTCATGTTCAAGTAGGCACAGGGAAGGTATTTTGATATCTCTGGTCAGTAAAAAAATACGTATCTACTGCTACACAACTTTTGCAAGCATTTTCTTACAAATTGAGCCCTTACTTGCTTTTTAGCTTGCTTAACTCCAGCTTCTGTTACATGGGTCCAGAGAAAGAAGAACAGAGGGGCTTGGTAGGTGGCTTTTTTGGGTAATAAAACCCAACAAGTAAAGTTGAGCATTTACAAGGTGTAATAGCAAAACGGTGTGTCCCAAGCCTTTCAAATGGAATGCTAACAGAAAAGACAGATACACTAAACACTCAGCTTTATGAGCTTCATGGTGTAATGCAGGGTGTCAACAAACCTGCACCATACCCAGTGTTTGCCAAAAACAGGCATAGGAAGCAATGCTGGGCAGGGACCCAAGACACAGAATTGCAACCATGCAAGTTCTGTCTTTCCTTACAGCAGCAAAAACAAAATTCAGCCTGTGATGCGTTACTGACCTATTAACTGCTGACCTTAAAATCCACTCTAGCTCATACAGGACGTGTGATGTAGGCAGCTATTAATTCAGGCTTCTCACTTTTTTGGTCCACTTTACTGTGGAGAAGACATTATCCTGTGTCAAACACTGCTGAGGGAGCCCATGTACACCTAGGACTAATTGCTGAAGGATCACAGCATCTTGATGGTTTAACAGTGCTGATGCAAATATTTTCCCACCTACTGTGTATTCACAGTCAGAAAACTTTATCAGGATCACCTCTTTGAAACTAATGTATATCAGGTCTCCTATTTTCTTGCTCAGAATTAGGTAGTCATTAAAGTTATTACTACTAATCCTTCACTGATGAGGAACAGAGGTATTGTGACACAAGATACTCCTTTTTTCAGATCCATCTGAAAACTCAAATTTTGCTGTCTTCACCAGAAGCCCAGAGAAACACAAGTATTTCTTTCTAAGCATTCTAAGTATTACAAACAGAAAAACAAATTACTATTTCTCCTACTAACGTCTACTAGCTCTTTGGTGGCATGGTTGCTAATCAAGGGCTCTTTTTTTTCTCCTTCTGAGGCAGACTCTATTTAAATAATGAGTAATTACTTAATTCTTCCTTTTTCTTCCTATTGCATATGCCAGGGAACCTCCTATTACTGATGTCTACCAAACTTTTTCACAGGAATAAGATGATAGCGGGAAACAGAAAAAGTTTGTGAAATTACAAGCAACATAAACAATGTCACATTAATCACTGTTCTCCCTCTTCTTTCCAAAAAAAGGACACATGGGTATTAAACGAAAGCAGAAAGCAGCAGTTCAAAACCAGCAAAAGAGGATCATTAAGCCATGCAAGCCCTTGCGACACAGCACTGCAAATAACAAAAACTTACAAAGACTCAAGATGCAACCGAACAATTTCATGGAAGAAGAATCAATTTAGGATTACTGAATATCCAGAAGGCACATCCAGCTCAGAAAGGCCTTGAGCTGCAAACTGCTGGACACTGAGAGCCTAATTGTGAAGTACCACTGCTCTCGTACATTTTCACCACACCATCTGCTGTTGTACACTGAGGGAAGCATGACACTAGGCTGGACATTAGGTCTAACTTTGTATGGCAGCTCTTATATTTTCATATTAATGCATTCACTGGGTATCCTTCAGTACAATAATTTTATGTCTGGTTTGCTGCATCCAAATTACAGTATTTTCTTCAAAGCATCGTTGCTAAATCTGCATCTTCACAATTTGTCCTCTGTAGGCTACAGCTCTCCTACCTCCAGTAAGTCGATCATCCGCGTCATCTGGGAGTAGATGAGAACTCTGTGTCCTTGAGATTTCAGCCGTGTCAAGAGAAGATCAAGAGCATGCAGTTTTCCGCTGTCAGTGATCAGACTCTCTTTGTCTAAAAAGAAATGGAAGAAAAGCAGGCAATTAATAAAGCTAAACCAGCTACACGCTGAAAGTTAACTCTGAAGTTTTAATATACTTCATTGCATTACAATCCCTAAAGTAATGAGTTGTGATGGAAGAAACCTTAACATCCCTTCTGACTGACACAATCACAATGCTAACAATACTTTTTGCTTGCTGGAAGGGGAGTATATGAATATACTCACTTGGCAAAATCTCATCGCAGAGTGATTTCCTCACATGTATGGACTCAATCCTTTTTGGACAGCCATTTCCCTCATCCCAGCATTCATCCTGACTGCGTCAACAACCACAATATGCCCTGACAGTTATAACTTTTCTCCACCTCACATGTTTAAATGCTGTCCTTAGGACATTTGCTGTAGAGCTTTAGACTTAACTTCTGCAGACCCAGTTTCAAGATCAAACCCCTCACCAACACGGAAAGCAAAGAACAGTTCTCCAGGTCACTGTAAAATAACAGCCCCTTTGCAGCACTGCCTTAACTTTTCCTTCTCTTCCCTGCTTTCTGCTTTTTGTTTTTCTTTATTGTTTAAGAAATGCTTCCAGATGGCAATCTTTGAAGTCACTTCAGATTTTATACTTCGTGTCCTCTCTATTTCAGCACTGCTCATGAAGTATTTTTCAGGAAGGAGATCTTCCTGTTTGTACATTCTGTACATAAACTTCAGTAAACAATATAGCACTGTTGAAAGAGGACGAAGAAAAATTTTCTTCCAAAAAAATTATCTGCTGGAAAGGCCACTGATGATTCTTTATTCTTTGGGATGTCTGAACTTGGGTTTACAGCCAAAACGGGAAGTTGACAACTGCAGATGGTGCAAGCTAGTACAGAACCCAAACATTTTCAACATGTCTAGCAGGTACCATTCTCTAATGTCTAGCAGGTAACACTTCCGCACACTTCTGAGTGCAAAGAACGAAATAACTCATGGGCTGAAGAAAATTCAGCTTTCTGTCAGGCAGTTAACTGTCCTGGCACAATATTCCAATTGAAAAAACAGGTATATACAAAAATTAATTCATTCATGTGAGCACCATGCATTTTAATACAGCTAAAACCAAATTAATACTAGTGGAACAGAGTATAGATCACACAACAGCTCTCATAAAAAGATTTTATGAGCAGAGCAAGCAACACAGTCCACGAGTGCCCAAGTGCAGCGATGTGGCACAGAGGGCTAAGTTTGATTCCTGCACACACAACCAGAGGTTTGCTTAGAAAAAGCAAGAATGTAGTTGTTCTTCCATACTTAATTCAAAAGATCATTTCAAAAGAACACGTCTAGGTTTAGTACCCCTTTCAGAAACATAAAGACCAGAAGGTGTTCAGGAAAAATCTCCAAGATTTCAGTGTGTTAAAAAACTTTCCCTGCAGTGAGGGAGTTCAGAAACTTGATCCGTTTCAATTTTTCAAAGAGCAATTGGCTCTACTCAAGGTTCTTCTTTTGGACAAAGGTTTTTAACAAGAGAAGAGAGCTTTACACAAGCAGAGAAGGGCACACTATCCAGTGCTTTGTTAAAACCGTAAAAACAAGCTTCCATCTTATCCTTCTGATAGTGAAGAAAAACCAGTCAGAAACACTTTTTTCCAGAAACATGGAACCATGGTGGATTCTTCATCATTTTAGTAATTCAAACAAGATCTCTTTTAAAAAACATCCTTTAGCTTAAATATAAATAATGGACTTAATGCTGGAGTTAGTGGGATCTATGTTAGGATACTGGAAGATGCAGCCACCAGTCCTGCTTTCTGAAATTCAAAAAATCTTGTGTTGTCAATATTGTCTAAAATTATTAGCTATTGTATGTGCACTACAAGCCAATGCTGTGAACGCTCTTGACTTTGGTTTAGGGCCATGCTCCTGCAATACACAAGCTAAGGGTCCAAGACAAGAGAGCTCTGCTGTTTCCTGCTTGTCTGCCTATCCAGATAGTCACTGTTTTCTTCCAGTTTGCTCTTGGTTTTGATGGTGATCTTGTTGCTTTGCCAGGAGCAAGTGCCACACAACTGCCTTAGGGAATGGGTCAACCAGAGAGCCAAGCCAAGGAGATACTGTAAGGAAAACCCAAGGCCCCAGCTCAGGCTGGCATTTGTTCTAGGTGTAACATAAAGTATAATGATGCACTCATGTCTAGAACAGAACTCAGTCTCAATTACATACAAATAGTTAATAGTTTCCTGCATTCTTCTAAGGAAGACCAAACTTTGAACTTGGGCAATTAAGTAAAAATGGAAATGACTTACGGTTATTTGGTTTTAAAATACATCTATAGAAGTTTGAACTCTGCGCACTAGTAGGAATGTTTACTCTTTATACAAAATATTATTCTTTCCTTTAAATCTATACAGCCATGACATTCTGCTTTTATTCTAATTGGTCAGCTTGCTTGCTCTTTCAGAATGAATTGAATTGAGTGAAGCAACATGAAAAGTCTAGATATAGATGACAAACTAATATGATTATTAACCAAAAGCCACCTGACTGGAAGGAACCGGAGAAAACAAACAGGGTCTGTTCACAAGACAACCTCAACTGACTCAGATTAACACATTAGCACCTTTCCAAATCAAAATGCTACTGTTTTTCTCACACCAGCATGAAGAGGTAGAATTAAGTTTTGGAAACTCGAAATGATGTGCGTCCTCTGCTGCTGGCTCCTTAGGTCTCCATTGTGTAAGTGACTATTTTTAAATAGCAATAAAATGCAAATTACAAGTAAAGAAGTTATTTGCAGATGGTCTTAAAGTCTGAAAAGTCAGCAACCTGTTAACAGTTCATAATTTCTCCAATATTTCAGCATAAAAGCCGACTGCACTGGTGAGAATGTTCTGGGCTTTTTTTTTGGTGGGATTTTTAGGTTTGATTTTTCAGTAAAGCAAAACAGAAGTAACAAAAAGATTTATCATCTCTGGAAGAGAAAACCATTTGACTTTAACCTGGCATATCTAAAAGTGCTATCTTGATACCATTGTGTTTTCCAAGACCAAATATCTTCACGTGCTTAAAGCCTGCCACCTAGTGCTTCAGGGGACAAACTCTGGGAAGCGGTAACAGAAAATTTACTTCTTTATTCATGCCATCTTCAGAAAACACCACGGTTATTCAAGAGAGGGGGGGAAAAAGTGTCTTTCACTTCTGGTTTCTCTCACTTCTATTTCTCATTCCCTTCCACGTCGTTTTGGGATTTCCAAAATTTGCAATTCTACATTTTCCATTTTTAATGATTGGCAAAAAGTTCCAATGCCTATGTCATTGGATATTTCTATTTTTAAATAGCATCTAAGGAACTTTTCAAATTGCAAGCCAGTCAGGAGAGAGAAGTCCTGGACTGCATGTCAAAGAACTCTCCGTAGGATGCAATTTTTGGGGTTCTTCTTCAGCAGTGATGAAATAAGCAAGAGAAGCAGATCAAAAATAATGTAACTGTAAAATCGTATCATATGGCTTTCAGTCTGAAAAAAAAATAAAATCCTTGTCTCCAGCCACACAGGGATATGGACATAAATTATCTACAAGGTGATACAAGTGGGATCCTACAGCCTGGGAAGAACAGTTACAAATGATGATGACTCTGAATAACCCCAAGCAGGAGCTCCGGCCGATGACTGTAGCTGCGCTCACTGCTCTCTGGAGAATGAGAAAAAGTGCTTCTGGACATGCAAACGCAGAGGAAAGAGAGATAAAGTCTGGGTTCCAGTTGACACCCCTGGTTCCCCTCCCGACAGTCTGCACGGCACAATGGGGTCAGTGAGGAGCTAGCTGGCTCTCACAGTAAACAGCCAGTGAGGCCGGTGCTTTTTATCGATGCTAAAAGGACTCAGACACTTCCTGCCATTTAATCCAGGACCATTTTTCTTTCAAAGAACAGGAAAAGCCTCAAGAGATTCCCACAGTGATCGCAGCTGAGCCTGCTGCCAGGGTACTGGGAACGCTGAGTTTGGGAGAGGATAGATCAGGGTTAGGAGAAAGGTATCCCCTTTTCTTCTTGTCACCCGTTTACTGCAGACCTTCACACCCACTGTTCCACTCTACACCTGCTCTGCTTCAGCCTTGTAAAAGAGGATAGATCAGGGTTAGGAGAAAGGTATCCCCTTTTCTTCTTGTCACCCGTTTACTGCAGACCTTCACTCCACTGTTCCATTCGACACCTGCTGTGCTTCAGTCTTGTAAAAGGGTCCTTCAGCACATCAGCCACTTTCTGCAATGCCCTGTGCCTGCCCTGTGCCTTCTCCTGCACACATAAACACAGCTGCCCTGTTGTGGTATATGCCCTCTCCTCTCAGGATAGGTTTAGGTTTGAATGCTACTTTCCACCTAATTAAAACACGGCTGTATGAAACTACTTTTTTTCAATCCACTTTTAGCTCCAACACCTCTCAGATTAAGCCAGCTTTTCATAACACACACAACCTAACCACCTTCTCAAGCAAATTCTTTATTGTGCTTTTTGCCTAACCTTGCATCTATTCATTCCTGTAAGCTTCATCTACTCCACCTTTACTCTTGTACAAATTTTTGCTGATGACAAAGTCATCAGCTTAAAATGGAAGAATTTTCAAGAGAATGCAGCTCTCTATACATTGTCTACTTTTCTTCATTTCTCTATTCATCTATCTATTCTCTCTTTCTCTATCCTTCTACCTTAACTTATCCCTCAGCTATTCCTCTCCTTTCTGCTACAGCGATTCATTTTCTGTTTCTAAATAACTGATAAACGATTCTATGAATTCCTGAAGAAACTATAAAATCATCAACAGTCACTGAACATTAATCTTGTGCAAGCTCATGAAGAATTGTTTCGCATAGATACAAACGTGCATGTGAGTCAAGTGACACCAAGTACTTATGAGGTACCTTCTTAAACCAGACTGTAGCAAGCAAAAGGCCATTTTCCTTTTACTGCACTAACTTCCCCTGCCAAACATCCTTGACCCAAAAGGGTCTGGGAATAACTTAGCATCTGGCAGTGTAAGCTGTTTTTCCTCTTGGCTATCTCTCAGATCTCTACTTTCTGCAGAACTCTGCTCACTGCTCAGGACCATCTTCTGACAGCTCAATTGTGTCCAGCCCGTGAAAATCACTGCAGTACTTGCTATCAAATTCCAGCAGATCTTGGATTACTTTAGTCTAATTCTAGGAAAAAATGCAGTGCATTTACTTTACTAGAACACTGGTACGTTTTTCACACTTCACCAGGAAATATGATTAAGTCTTCTTTATTCCAACTGAAACCCTCATGCCTTGTTTTCCAGGCCAATTTCCTCTGAACTAGGTCCCCAAATCCATCCATGGTAGACTGCTACAAGTAATGTTTATCCTTTCACTGGGAAGACCAACAAAAGATCTCTTAGGTCAATACAAAGGCCTTCCAACACACTAGGAGGCAAGGTATGATTGTTACTTTTCGTGCAATCTTCCAATCTCAAAATACTATTTGGTTGTGAGACCAGACTGTGCTTTAGTAAGCAAATCCATCTCTTTACAGTCACTTGGAGGGCTGATGTGCTCAAAGAGGTTAGTAAGCATTAGAAAAGTTTGTGTTTCAATTGTTCAGTATCCACTGACAGCTTTACTCCAGATGGAGGATGTGAATACAAGGTTAACTTTATCTCAGGAGGAAAAACAAACACACAACCAGCCCCACCCCCTCAAAAAGCCCACAACCAAGCATAATTACCATGAGGAGCAGATGTCCTTATCTCAGCTCTGTTCCATGACAACCTTTAAACTTACCTGGTATCCTGATAAAAGACCAGCCATTCTGAGGCCTGATCCCTAAGAGTCCTCCTGGGTACTCTGGGAAGAACTGGGAGCACTGCTTCAGCCACTCAGCTGCTAGCTCAGGGGACCCATTGAGCACACACTGCTTTGCTTCGAGACTTCCTCCTTCCTTCAGCGCCCTGCGCTCGTACTCTGCACTTCGGTCATTGCAGTAGAACTCCAGTGGCACAGCTGTTACCTACAAGTAAAATAATAAATCAAAATTCTCATTCAGATTTCCCCTGATTCCCTAATCCCTGGTTAATGTATCTTCCCACAGAATTTAAATTTAAAAGCCCAATTGTTACTGACATGTATGAATAGAAAATAATCTTAGGCTGGCCTAAAAATAAGCCAAGATGCAATATCTCCCCACATCACAAAAAAGGTCCTGAACAACCAGGTATGGACCTCTTGACTTTTGATAAACAATGCCTTGTGCTAATTGCTACACAACTGATAGCAAAGCTGAGAGTAAAAGAATAATATCCTTGCTGCACCTATCATTGGGCCAAATTTCTTTTTAATTTTTGCACTTCACAATCAAGCATTTACCTAGCAGAGATGAGATTTACATATTGTCCTTTACAGAAATTCACACGATAATTTAAAAATAGGAAGATACATTAATTAGAAAGGAAAAAAAACCCCACAAAACAAACGAACAGGAAAACAGCCCTGTTTTGGAACAGCACGTTTCTTGGGCTCAACAGCTGATTAGAATAGAAGTGCAAGTGAGCACAGGGTGATCTTTTTCTTCTGGCCATTCTGTGAACCCCTTGCCCTATTACCTCCTTCAGGACATACGACCCAGCTGGACAGCCCAGTGTTGCAATCACAGGAACTCTGATTTCATGCTGTGAGCTATTCTGGAATGGCTCCATCACTTTAACCTCCCCTACTCTGCCCAATCCACCCCAATCTGTACAGAGCGGAAGGTCCACGTCAGCCAAAGAGCTGTAAGCCGATGGCTGTAAGGGTCTCAAGAAGAGTCTGTTCCAGCAGCCAAGGCCGTCCTTTGTACAATCTATAGTTTTCTCTTATTTCTGCCTTGTGGGGTAGGTGACACCTTCAAGATACTGCAGTAATAAAAACCAAAATCGGAACCGAGCCAGGGACGGCCTACTCTGTTAAGTTTTTCTTCAGATACTTCACTAAGAGTTAAATCAGTTGATCCGAAGCAAATACAACACTTTCATGCAAATATAAATACACAACAATTCACTATTGAGCACAAGAAATCTTTCCAATAAAATGCAGATCTCACTGACTTCTTTCTAACTTTTCCGAAAATCAGTCTGTTTTGGGCCAACATTGTGGGGTGTTTACAAAAGCTATTTATAACCAAGTTTACAAATGAAAGCTACTGAAAACTTTCACATGCTATCTAGAGAGTTAATAATGTGTTGTAAACTCACATGAAAATGAAAGTAAAACTTCACATTGGACAACTATTCTTACAGTATGTGCTTGTAACAGCGAAAAGTGATAAATCTGCAATGCTTTGTGGGTTTCCTCAGCATAAGAAGCACACGTCATTACTTTAGAAGTCGTTGTCGCTTTTATTTCAGAAGCACAGTTTTTAAAATTGTCCACGTAAATTCATGTAAGTGAAAGACACCGTCATGAATCCTAACACTGTGCAAAATTGCATTACCTATAGAACTAAGAAAAGCTATGTAATAAATTAAAATGAACACAGAAGAAATCAAACTTGTAAAAGTTTTTGCATTTTAAAAAATAAAGCAGAGCTGCACAGGAAAAAACAGTGCAGGAGTCCGTAGGTTTTGATGGTGAACAGTGAGCAGCGGAGTTTCTGGAGAACTGAGTAGGGAAGGGAACCATTGTGATAACAGGACAACCAAAACAATAAACACAGTAAAAAACTTATTTCTGTATTGCAGGTGAAAAGCTTTTATGTATTTGAAAGGAGTTTAATTTTTTGTTCCAGCTTGCTCTAGCATGACATAATAAACTGCTACATACTCAGAATAATATACATATAACTTTACACCATGCAAATAAAAGTATTTTCATGGCTTTATTAAATGATAAGCAATAAATAGTTTAAATATCACCAGTTTAAAATATTGTACTTTAGAAACTGCCTGCTATCTTAGATGCTGGCTGCTCTTCTCTGAACATTTACCAGCTAACTTAAAGAAAAAGGTATTAAGCGAGACCATCTGGGTAGAAGCCTGTGGCACACTCCTGGTTTATGGGAGCTCTTCCCATAGGGATAAATTAACCTCACAAACAGAGACTTCTCATTGCAAAGGCCAATCAATTGTTTGTGAGTACAATTACAGTACGTATCGAAATAAAAACAACAAGGCATACAAAATCTTAGCAATAGCGGTAAAGCCATTGTTTTGCAAGATGCCGAGAAGTATTTTTAAACCCCACTGGTTTATGGGTCTACGCACCCAGCCACATGAAACGCTGCAAAGTGAAAGGGATTCTGTTAAGGCTTTGGACACATGTTCCGTAATTAAAAGACAAGAGTTGATGCTGCCTCGTACCGCCACCTGCAGTCACAGCATAGGACTGACTTGTGTGGGAGAAGGCACAACTCAATTCAAGATGCAAGCAAGTCTTGTTGCCTGAACACTGATACACACTGCAGACCATGGTACAGACTTGGGTTGTTTAAGGGAGACTATTAACCATCGCATTTCAGTTCACATTTCTAAACTGGATAGACCGGAACTCTTTCAAACACTGACAAAAAGAGAAACCTCAAAAACAGGCAGCCATCACGTACAAATCAGAGCAGAGTAATTTCTGACACAGAAACACGGCTTATCCATACACTAGGATTTTTAAAAGAAAAAGGAAGTCACATCGTAAAATTCTACAAGCCACATTTCAGTAACGCCTCACCCAGAGGAACAGCTACTACGAGACAATCTTGAGATGAACTTTGTGTGCCTCACTGCAATTTCTACATTAACAAGAACTACTCTTCCCATGCAGCCTGTGTAACACTGACCGACATCCAAGGGCGTAAGACTATCTTCACTATCACCTCCATGCTTTTTTAAACACATACATACACCTCTAGGGTAGAGCTTTGCATCTTTTACATGGCCTTACAAGAAAAACCAAGACATTTCTGAAACAGATCAAAAAATATCTGCCATTCAAGCTTATTCATGCTCCTCCTCTCTCCTTTTTGTCATGGTCCAGTTTTTGAAAGTTTTCTTTCTCCTGGGTTTGTTTTTGTAGTTTCACTCATAGCGAAAACGTAGAGTAAGTCCTTAGTATTAGTCCTCCTATGATGAGACATTACTGTCAAACTGACTGAATCTAAGTGTCATGGTTCAGAAATACATCAAAAATACAGCGACAGGGATGTATGAATACATTGCCACCTTAAATTCAGTAACTTACTTTAGTTGTGGTAGTTGCTAAACTTCTTCCTGCATTTATCCCAATACAAAGTTAACCTTTCAGACACAAGATGCCCAAATTCTTGGGCACAAGAAAACCAATTCTTACCATAATACTTCTGACACACCGGAATCTATTGAAACTAAACCAAACTATATTACTTGAAAGTGAATTAATCAGCTTCTTAATGAGAATACAAGATCCATTTTTTGGTGATTGAGACCTATCTGTACTCAGGAAAATTGCCTGCATAGAAAGAAACTACAATACTGACTCCCGCTCACCACCCCATAGCTGCTACATAAACTTACACTCCTATTTCTATCATTCGCTCCATTAACTTCCCAAAATTCATCACAGGTCAAACAACAACAGAAGGCTATCATTTCTGAGAACATGTGTGCTCTTTCCGCCGTTTCAGGTCTTCCACATTCCTGCCAAAAGTTTCTAACAGGCGTAAAATTAAGTCTTTGTATTCCTGGAAACAAAAAGCCATGCTTCCACTTAATCATCTTTATACACCAGCCAAGCCAAACCAAGTAACTTTTATTGACTAGAATAAAGGTCAAATATGATCTCTCCTCATCTTTCCCTTCCCCTTCATATGTAGCCTCCTAACCCCCTGATGCAGGGGAAGTATTCAACACATTTTTCATCCATAAAGCAAATTTAGGTGCAAAGAGTGACAAATCAAAGGAATCTGAAGGAGAAGTGGTTTAGACAATTTACTCTCAGAGTAACTGCCTGTTCCTGAAGCAAGGCAATGCGTTGTGACTGGGAGGCGATACGTGATTTTGAGAAGTTCAGTTGGGATTCCTGACCCCTAGAGGCACAGATGAAGTCAGCTCGAGGAGCAGCACGGAGGTGATAAGCACAGAGTCCCACCTGCCACCCACCCTTCTCCAGATGGGAATGTGCAATTACTGCTGTAGGCTCGATCAAATGGGGCCACATATGCAACATGGACACTGACTAAAGAAGGCAATATATGGATGCTCTGGTAATAAAAGTACATTTTGGCCAGCTTTGTCAAGATCCAACAACGTGGAATACAATAGACTTATATTCAAAAGATTTAGAAAATGCCAACTCAAGTAATCTTTATATATGGCAATTTGGTGTTTCCTTTTTGGAGCATAAGCTGATGCAATGAGAGAAACTGAACATCCTTTTCAAAAAAGCACTGTTCCTCTTGCACTTCAGTCCTCTTCTGTCATCAGAGTTGGCCAAACAATCACTTTCTTCTGTTGGTATCATGCTTACATCTCACCCTTAAATTACTGAGAAATAATCTACTTGACAAACTCTTCTATAATTTTACTGCTTTTGATATTAGGAGAGAAAGTGAAATCTACATATCTCAGAGTAAGTCCTGCTGAGTGCATCTTACAACTTTCTTTTTCCCTTCAGTACACATTACAGTCACTTCCCCTATAAAAAACTCACTATTGAATAGAGTAGCAAAAGGATATCCTTGAAACAGTTTTACCCAACCAAAAGAAAGTAATAGATCATCCTGTTCCTAAGACACAATTCTAACAAGATTTTAAACACAATAGAAAATACATAATTTACAACTTCACTTGGACTTACCCGTGGACTGGCTATGCACAGGAAGGACGGCAGCTCAGTCACCTGGCAGCACCGTACACATGAGGTAGCTGATCTCCTTCGATGTATGACATGATCTGAATAGCCAATAACTGCTTTACAGTGGCTACTGAACACAAGGTTCTGAAAACAAAATTTAAGAGTTACTACATCTATAAAGAAATACTCCTCCTGTGTCTTGGAACCACCCATGAGACAAACAGACAAAGGACATTCACCAAGTATTTCTCTTTGAAAAAGGAAACTCTACACATCTTCTGCAATGACAACGTACAGGATCTTCATGTAATTATCAGAACATTCGATTCCTGAAATGGCTGAAATCACAATAGCTCGTATCAATACTTGCCTTTATGCTCAGTTGAGACCAGAAATAAGTTTTTCCTTCTTTGAACCTTTGGATCTTAGCTTTCATAACGAAGGAAGTACAGGAATATTCTAGTAGGCCTGACCCTCAAGCTGTTTTCTAGCTACTCCTTTATCTATTCTGAATGACGAGCAAAATTAAATTGGGCAGAGAAAAAAATTAAGACTCTAACTGAGACTGGACTGGTATCTTTGGACTTTCATTTTTTCCAACCTTTTCTTCCTCTTCTGTGCAAATTTTATACTGAAGACTTTCAAGGTGCTAGCAGGGATACTCACACACATGAACACACCCATGCGTAAAACCTGGAACTTGCCACAGGTCTACGAGTGCCCTTTTGATACAGAAAACCAAACTGACTCAAAAGTGGGGGCACCGAGGTGACACCGCAGTTTAAAGAAAGGGGAGCTCTTTGAAGATGCTCAACTCTACAAAGACAAGTAACAAAACTACATTTTCTTCGCTTGCATCATTTACTGTATTTTCCTTTTTTATTGTAAATATCTACATCAAACAATGAAATAAACTGCATAGAGACTAAGCCATTTTTGCTACTTAGTTTTAGTCTGACTCTTCCATATTCATAGCGACCAATTGTTACATATAATTGCTTCAGAGTAAACCTCTGCACACTGCAGGAAACGAGCAACAATTTTAGAAACATTAGGAGGTACACCTCTCGCTGCCACAGGATCACAGGATGTGCCCTCCTGACAATTCTACCAGTTCACTTAAGTAAAATATAAAGAGTGTCTAAAGGTTTGGCACTGCTCTGACCCAGTTCCTAATGAGCCAAAAATCAATTGCACGCTACCTTTACTTTACAGAGCCTCTCAATTTTCTAAAATCCCAGTGTCTGAAGTTCTAAGCATCAGGGTACACGATAGAAGCAGACACCTTGTGTATCATATCATACACTGGATATACACATTCTGACATATGCCAAAAAATACTAGAATATATCCACAGCAGTAGTCAACTATGGATCATGCACTCTGGGCCCTTTCTGCTTCCAGACGTAGATGCACCGGCCAAGACGCAGATGGCTAGCACATATAATTTGGAACCTGATGACAAGGCAGAAAAATTCTCTTACTGTACCTACGTGCTAGCATCACCTAAGAAATCCAATCAGTCAATCCTAGCACGCGAGGGAGTCCTACAGCTGCTACCAGTGAGACTCGTGGTCTGAAGCTGGCAAAAATAAAGTTTATACTCTCTGACTGAACATCTGCTCCTCTACATAAAAGGTAAGAGCAGAAAGAGCTGACAACAGCATTTCACTGACGCTCAGCAGGGCTAAAAAGCACAGGTCAAAGCTTGGGCCACACAAGATAACGTGAAGTGATCCCAAAACCAGGCTCTTACTCAGCTGGCAATTCTTTAGCAGTAATGCTGGCTGAAGCAACAGCTGCTTCACATGTTCACTCCTGTCCCTGCAGAGCCTCTTCTTGCTGGCCTGGTGTTCTGTACTCACAAGATGCTGATCAAGGTGAAAACAAACCCTTTCCCTTCCCCTCCAAGTTAGTTCTGTGATCTGTTTGACCACCTGGTAAAACAGGCCGTGTGCTGAAACAGCAGAGTGGGAAACGCAAGGCTCGGGGTCCGCGGCTGCAGACAACAGCTGTGAATGCTGGTTTACTCAGCTGAAGACAAGTGGTGGCAACAAAGCAGCAGCACTGCTGCTGAAAAGGGGGACTCCCTTCCCGTGACATATCTGTGCCACTTCTTGCGCCGGTTTTATCACCTGTCACATCCCTCCAGAAGCCTATTTAGGTACACATCTGATCAAAGAACAAATTCAACAGCCATAAAAACAGCAAAGTTTTCTGCAGTGGGCTCATAGACGGATGTGACAGTGCAAGTCCACATCAGCGGAGGCAGGATTCAGTGACTGGGAGAAAAGAAAGGACACAAGAGTCAGAGGAGAAGAGGGACTTCCCTTTCAGCAACAGAACAACTGCTTTAGCCCGAAGCCCCTCTCACCCCACCCCTGGCCCACACGCTGCTGATTTTACAACCGGGAATCAGCACTGCATGCAGTCACAGGAGCTTTCTAGAAGTCTTACGACAGCAAGCACTGATGTACTGATTGTGGCCCTGGTCATTAGCGAAGTTTGGGTAACTTTATTTCCTGGAAAGTGAAAATCCAAGAAACGGATCGATAGGAGGCTAACAAACTGTAATTCCAAACCTATGCAAGTTTGGTATTTAATTCTCATTTGGAAGACAATATCAAAGAGCCATCAAAGATGGCTTTAGCCCAACCAGAAGTACCCAAGAAAAAACAAAGGAAAACTTCCAAGAAGGTATCCAAAATAAGAGAAAAATACTATTTTTGTATACACACAGTATTAGAAGTAGGGCTTGTACATGGGCATTAATTTGCTTTTCAGCACCACGCTTCCTGTGTACAAATTCTAAGCAGGTCACATAAGAAACAACCCTCTCTGAATTCCCTGACACATGCAGTCATGAAGTATTCATGAAGACAGCAGACACCAGATACAACATGGACAGCAGAAATCAGCTTCCCATCAGTCACACACATGGAAAAGACTGGGTAAGGTTACAGAACTGAACACAGCCACAGCTCTGAAATGGATCATGTACCATAGTACAACAAAACCAAGAACCAAAGAGAAGGACTGATAAAAAGAAAGAATGTACACATCTACAGCAACCTTGCCATCCAAAAAATCCAAAATGAGAAAAGCAAAGGAGAAAAGGGTTCATCTCAACAGATCAGATTTTATATTAATTTAAATCAATGTACACAAATTAATACACATGCTGTGGAGGTGCTGAGTAAAGGGAATGAAGAGACCTCACACTGCAAGAGATTTCTGTGTTTACATGAAAAAAACATGCTGTCTTTAGACAGATGTAACCTCAATTTCAGAAAGATCCATTAAAAAGAAATGTGTTTTTTTCATCTACTGACTTATTTTCATACTTTGAAATGTCTCTTATATCGGAAATGCTGATCTGAGCAGTTAAGAAAAGCCTTTCCAGATTTACACCATTTCCTTTTCCTCTGTTTCTCCCCCCCCCACTCCCTACATGTTACTGTGTTACGAAGCCCTAGAGGAAGCCTTAGGGAAATTTACACTGAAAGTTTCTCAAATTTAGGCTAAGATTAAAAAAATGAGTTCATTTTCCCCTCACAATGGTGCGTGCTGATAAAAGACAGGTGTGTAAAGGGCTGTTTGTTTTACAACTCTCACATCGGTTTTGTGCCTTTAAAATAAAAATGTCCTGTATGTAAGCTGTGCAAACAAAATTCTGCAAATACAGCTTACTTTAAAGTGACTTCAGGTGGTAATTTGTCTAACATGCAGGTCAGAAAACAGTTCTAAAGAATCTGTCATAACTGTAGGGCTAAACTTCCTTTAGGTTTACTGGGGTTGTATCACAAATGCACTGTATTGCACACACTGATGAACTTTGCTCCTCACCTGGTTGTTTTCCCTGTAAAAGGTACCAGTTACACCAGTCACTGGTTACACACAGTTACAGCACTGGGACCCGCTTGGACACAAGTAACGACTACCTCAGAGAACAGAGATTATTTGGAGAAACCAAATTGTATGTTTAAGTCTTGCCAGGTTGTGGTACAGGTGGGTCTGTAGCCTATCCAAATGCTTTACATTTCATTGTTAATATTAAACCCGCATGTGCATATTCCAGATTTCATATTCAGTATCTATGTTAACACACCTTCTGTTCTTTAAGAAAACATAATGACTTTCATTTTAATATTTACACACAGTAACCCAAAGGCTATGGACAGATCTAGATTGTCTTTCTACACATGTAAAAATGAATGCTACCTTCTGAAAGTGCATACAACTTCCGATACCATCTTCTACTCCCTTACTGTTAGGCTGCAACATTTATGACACCACACAAGTTTTCCTTAACCATAGCAATGGGAAGACAGAGCTACAGTATAGTTTCAAAAAAACCTAACTGAAAGCAAATCCACATGGGGTAGACATTTTATCAAGCTAGGAAACAGAGAATATTGAAACACCAGCACAGTCAGAGTTAACTGGCACACACACTCAATTGGCTTGCTCTTTGTTTGATAACTAGGACGACTCATTTTGTTGGCTTTGCCGTTAACACTGCAAAACATGACACCAAGTCCAAGGTTGGTTTCCTACTGCTTATGCGTCTTCAATTTCAACTTCCTCTACATGCTATTCAATTGAATTCTGGCTATCTCCTTTCCCCTTCCAGACTCATGAACAGAAGCAATATTCCCTAGAGAAATTTGGCACAATCTCACTGTTTCAGAGAAGATTTTTTTACTGCGTATCTGCAAACTGCCCTAGATGCTTTCCTGACTCTATGCTAGTACTTTTGTGAACTTATTTCCCAGTGAAATGCATCAATGGAGCTATAACCTAACTCAGGAAATCAACAGCAATTTAGTCATAAAAAGACAAAACCTACACACACATCCCAGCAAAAGATTAGAGAAAATAACCTTGTGTTACACAGCAAGGTGAACACATTTGGAGACTACCAGACAGCAGAAGAGCACATTTTAGAGTAGAAAGACACCACTGACAATGCTTGTCCACCAACTCTGAAATGTTGCTAGGCTGAAGTCTCTGCTTTTCCCAGTTGCTACAACCATGCACTGAATATGAGAAGAGTTAATTTTAGTCAAAAAGCGGTCATCTTATATGTAGAAAAGTATTACAAAACTCTTAAGCTTATGTGTAGAATCTATCCCTGACAAATAATGAGTCTAGTTCTGTTGCTCCAGTAGCATTTTTAATACTTCTAATTTTCTAATAATTCTAATAATTATTATTATTCTAATAATAATAATAATCCTAATAATAATAATTTCTAACAATAACTTAATACTTCTATTTTCTAATAAATCTAACCGATTTATTTTCTATAAGTTTTCAAATGTATCAGCACATGGGAGGAAGATAGCAGTTAAACTATTTTTCTGTTCAGCACTCTGAATTTCATTGACTAGATCTAATAAAGCAGATCCTGTTTCTAAGTTGGTTTCCTCCATTTTATGAGGATAGAAAGGTTTTCATTGTTTCTTACTCATGAGGATATGCTACTGTCTCCACATCACAGAAATTTTGCTTACCTGCAGCAAAGTGCAGCTGTGCAAGTT